ATGGTATATAATACTATAGTATTTATAACTAGTGTTTATAACTATCAGCTATGTTGTTATTTATAGCTATTACTATATTGTCATCAATATAGTTTTTAGCAGTGCACAATCTATTGTTGGCCATATCGGTATCAACCAATCAATATATTTGAATCTATATTTACATTAATTTTATAATATAATAATTAATTATTAGCCAATAAATTATAGATTATTTCAAAAGAATAATAATAATGCCTTACATTTATATAGTGCTTTTCTGGACACTCAAAGCGCTTAACACACAGGGGTGGAATCTCCTCATCCACGACCAGTGTGCAGCATCCACCTGGATGATGTGACGGCAGCCATATTGCAGATATGGGGTTGGTTAAGAGGGTATGATGGACCTCGGTTTAACGTCTCATCTAAAAGCCGGCGCTCACTGAGCACTACTAGAGAATCCCTATCACTATACTGGGGTGTTAAGACCCACAATTTCCTGTAGAATGTAGTTACATACTGGAAGCAGTTCTCCAGTAACTTAAAACAGTAAATCATTTATAGCACATCCATGTACTGTATGTGTCTTTACAGTATTGTATATCTTTACTGTAAAATTTACTGTCATTTTCACAATGCGACTTTAAAATACAGTAACATACAGTAAGATTTGTATTTATCGTACTATACATTACTTAATTCTGATGAAATATGAATTAAAGAGTTATCGATACGGTTCAAAATATCCACATCAGTGCATTCTTACTCTATAATTATTGCTCCTGATGGTGAACAGGCTTTAAGTCCGATTTTTAAGGAGCATTTAGCTTGAGGCGATGATGATTCCAGTGTCTTCACAATGATCCCTTTAAAGTGTCGTCAAGAACAGACAAAGCCGTTTGAGAGGCATCTCCTCCGAATGCGTAGCTGATTCTGAAGCAAATGAGTCTGTGCCACTCCAGGCAGCACCAATACACCATTCCAGCTTCAGCGAGACTTTAATAATGGCATTTAGAAAGGGCCAGAGAGGGGGTGTGCTGAGTGTAATGTGTAGGCCTAGGGGTTTGCGCAGCATGTACAGGCATCGATCAAAACGCTCACTGACTCACAAACTGAAAAATAGATTTGTTATAAGTCACAGATGCAGGTTGACCTGAAGCTCATGTACATATGTACTCCTCCAACACACACATACACACACCAAATAAGCCTCCACTTCAATTCTGCCAGACTGATTCAGCTACATCCGGATCCTGTCTCCCCGTAAGCTGTATTAGTTGTGCTATTAAATTAATCTGTACTTTGGAAGCAGGTAAAATAGCGCAGCTCTATATTTTGCTGGTTATGGGCTTGTAATTGGGTCAGTAAACGGAGGTCAGTAATGGGTCTAGATTTTTATAGCTTTTAAGTACAAGTCTGAATGGCCGAATTATGAGACAAATTGATAGAGTGCAGACTAATAAATGTGATTACAATAACAGGTGGCACTCAAATGAATGCAAACAGCAGTTGAATGTACTGTAAAAATGAGGGTAAATATCCCTTCCTGACGCTCATCCTGATAAGATCTTCTGCTCTGAATGGTTGGTCTCTTTCTCTCTGTGCGCCTCACAGATGCTCATATTGACGCACAAATGACAAGGCACAAACACTGAATAATTCTAGTACACATGCATGCAAAAGTCCACAACTTTATGGCAGAATTTAGTTCCAGACAAAGCTTTGAGCACATTTTCAGCATTGGGGAGACCAGCTGTATCGATTTAAAGGGTTTGTTAATACCAAAATGAACATTCTGTCATCATTTACTCATTCTTATTCATTTCAAAGCACTTGTTCATCATTGTAAAACTTACTTATTTACTTCCAGGGTCATTCGAAGTTGATATTTAGCCGCACCATGTTTAATTTTTACGAGTTGGTTGTTAGCCCAATGCTCAACGCCCAACCTGAAGGACCAGGACATATATACATACTGTACACTATGGCTGGGCGATTTCAGGGTATAACCAGGAATCCTAAAGGTAATTTCAATACTTTAAAGACGTTATCAAAATATTTTAAGAGCTCATCACCACTTCAAGTTATAATCAGTATCAAACCTTTAACTTAATAAACAGTTGCTAATAAACATTTGTAGTTAAATAAATCAATGAAGCACAACCATGCAACAAAACTCAAATAAGTTCGGAAGAAACCAAGCTTAAAATAATAAATTATGTGGTTGTTTTCAGCAACAGGCTTCAACCACTGTTTAAGCTCGTCTTTTTCCAACCAGGAGTACCCAAACTTACATTTTCCCATTTTGATGTCGGTTTCACTCTGTGGTTTCGTTACATGTGGAGAGCGTCACATCACCTTCCCGCATTTGTTGCAAATTATGTGGCATCACTTGGACAGAGGAGCTTGGCCGGACAATTGAACGAATCAATCGCAGGGATCAAGCTTGCCATTGTTAATATTAGGGGGAAAATAAATATATTTATGCTTTTTAGGAGTCAAACACTTTAGACAACGCTTAAACAAAATTTAAGGCCTCATAAAAATGCAAAGAAAACTTTTTAGTACCTTTTAATGGCTTTAATTTTCTCATATTTGATTTATCAACTTTTAATACTTTTTAAGACCCCGTGGACACCCTGGATTTGGCCAAAAATCAAAATATTGAATAGCTGAACATTTTAATTCGGTTACAATTAATAAACGATTATTTTATTTACTTATTTTATGTTTTTGCCCTCATAGTTCACTGAGATTTGTACAGTAAATATGCCTTTTTAAAAGTTGTTTTACTTTTTAAATGTGCTATTTCTGAATGAAGGGTGCTTTACTTCCATGCCGCACACCCTCATCATCGCTACCAAACAGACCAATCACAAAGTTTGTGCTACAGGTACGCTTCGTTGTGATGTGTAGTTACATTTTTTGAAAGGTGCACATGTATGCGAAGGCTGCACTGGACTGTACGTGTGTGCTGGGCTGAAGTATAATACCACAATATTATAATAAGTATAAATCATAATATAATAAGTAAGATTTAATTCATTCATTTTGTTTTCAGCATGGTCCCTTAATTAATCTGGAGTCGCCACTGCGGAATGAACCGCCAATAAGTATAAATTAGTTATTATAAAGAAATTGAAAAAATTTTCCTGAAAAAAATTATATCGATTATAGGTTCTAAATGTCGATTTCGATTACTTTTCGATTAGTCACCCAGCCATAACATACACTACGGACAATTCAGCTTATTCAATTCACCTATAGAGCATTGTAAAACCAATTGAGGTATTATTTTTAATTAAATCAGATATGTCTATCCTTCCATTAAAAGTGTTCACCCAAAACTCTAATGCTTTAAATATTACTAAAATGATGAACCACTTGTTGCATTTCTAATTTGTCATTTTTAAGTGAATTTTGACTCAGCTTCAAGTGGTTGCAACCCTTTATGAGTATTGTGTTTTTTAATTTAAAAAAATAGGATATTTCATTTGACAACTGTAGTAACTGATTTTCATAGTAGGAGACTAAAATAATATAGAAAAGGCTACCAGTTAACTACATTTTTCTTTTTTGTCAGAAAAAACTCAATTAGTTTAGGTTTGAACAAGCAATTAGATTAGTAAATTATGACAAAATATTCAGTTTAATTGAACTATCCCCTTAACCCTACAAGAGATTATTATTATTTGTGTTCCAAAGATTTTTTTTTAGGTTTGAAACTGCATGAGGATGAGTAAATGACAGAACTTTCAATTGTGGGTGAACTAACCCTTACCTCTCAATAAACTGAATACAGGGGGACTGTACCCTCTTCCCCTTATGTCTATAGAAATTGCATCCAACAAATGCTGCCAATTCTTTCAATACATTTATCATTTCCAAATGCAGAAAATCTGATTCCAAAGGTACTTTCTCACATATTTCTGATTTCTTTGTCATTAAATGTTAGCTCTTAGACATTATATAAAGAACAATTTTTATGTCTGATATCAAACAAGCCTTATATCACAGATCTGATTCATTATCCCACCGGGACGCACTCGAATCCTGTCATACAACCTCGATAACTCACTGCTCGATTTGTTATTGTGATGACGAATCTGGACACGCCGCCCACACCCACGAGAGCAGAGAAGGTGCGTAATTGCCCCCTCCGCCTCCGCGCATCAAAGATTCTGCATCTCTCCTTCAGCAAATCGCAAGGAAGATTCTTTACATTAAATGTAATATCCCTCCTAAAATTGTCAAGTTTAATCCGTGTCTAATGGAAATTGTGGTTTTTGATGCTCCGTGAGCAGCATTCCCATTATTGCCAGTGCAAAGTCTTGATGATTTGGAGTTTAGCACTCTAAAAAATAAATGACAGTTCTTTTTTGGCATCAATGACTCCTTTAATAACCATGGAATCTATTCGTTCCACCAAATGGTTCTTTAGATTACTCAAATATATGGGAAAGACTTTTCCAAAAGGTTATTTGGGGAACCCCATTGCATCACTGTGAAATCCCTTTTTTTTGGTTCTTCCAAAAAAGTGTAGTGTAGCTCCTTATCATGAAGCCAAATTGTAACAGGTTATTTGTATATGTCGTCGTCCTAATTATATGTTTTAGTCTGTGAATTAGCCTTATCAGCGTCTTTAAAGGCGGTCGGTGTTTAAAGAGATTCCTCAGAATTCCAATCAGGAAAAATAAATTCGTTTTAACCGCAATATAGTGATTACATTTATGTGTAAAAATATATATTGTGTAAAAATAACAAATATACACCGTAAAAGCGAAATAAGTATACTAAACTTTTTGTTCGACTTCATGTGAGGCGGTTGATGCCATGATTTAACCCAAAGGCTAATTCACAGTTGCCATAAGACACCTGTACGCTTCATTATTTGACAGAATGTAAAACCCACTCAACTTGTAATGAATCAATTCAAATGTATCCATTAAAACAACCCAGCGCATTTAGATAGTAAATGATGGTCGTTTCAGGCTTAAAGACCAAAACGCATTACGTACCTTTCATCCAGTCCACAACTTGACTGGGGCTCCATTTACTAACAGGTTCCATGACGAGAGCCATCGTGAAACTTTCTGCGGATGCCCCTTCAACGCGGCTGCGAGGGGCAGAAGATGTGGTTTAACGGTAGCTCAGATCGGTGGTCTCACGTTAAGCGCCTAGATTTGGCCCCCGATTACGCGATTTCATCCCATCCAGAATTGCGCATCCAAAAGCGTCACACGACATCAAGCACATTTTACTCCCGCAAACTCGTGCATTTCTTACACAATCAACGCCCTCTTCTGAGAGCCCAAACCCGGTCCCCGTTTCAGTTCAGATCCTGGCATAATGTGCCATGCTCAGCCGGGTCCCCAACAGTCGCGTCTTCATGTCATGCACCAACTGCAGTCTTTCCTGTTTCTCCCTTCCCCTCCCTTCGTGTTCGTCTCCTCTTTAGGGGTCTGTACCTTTCAGAGGTGGGTATATAGAGTAAGACAGAGAGAAATGAGCGGTGTGCCCACGGGGACTCAAGTGAACGTCGCTTCCAAAAGCAGTGGCGAGCGTTGATTCAATTGGGCGCGCGCTCCTCCTGTGGGTGGTGCGGCAAAGTGAATTTGACTCGCGCGCTCGGTTTATTTCCCACGAGGATAAAAGGCTTTCGGCCGTATTCATTTTAATGAGGGGCACGCTGGTTCACCCTGCTTCACAAACTCTGTAAAAGCAGTGCACGCAAAAAGTGTCTGCATGGAATTTGTAATGGTGCTCATGCTATATTGGCATGCTACTTGGCGACTTTTGAGGCTAATGTTGTGGTTGAAACCAAAATTATGGAGGAATATGGTAGCATAAACCATAAGAGGGACAAGAATAACTCAAAAGATTCATAAATGGAGTTCAATCAGGGTTACATTTTACTCCAGCGGATCTTTCTCAGGATAAGTTTATTTTTGAAAGTGATTTTTTGGCAATAGCCTACAGTCTTAAAAAGCTATTACGCATTCTAATTAAAACGGGAGAATTTAATTAATTTAACAAAAGCTTGGTGGAATTAGATGGGTAAGTTGTTTCGATGATATTTTTGGAAAAACACCTGTATCACTAAACTGATATAAAAAGAACATTAAAAAAAGCTAACATAGAGAATGCATCTATCTTTTGGTCTGAAATTTTAGTACTTCATCAAAAATATGAGAAGAATTACCACTGAATGTCACCAGGCTTTTGAAAGTAATCCACAAAGCCAAACATACATTTTGAGAAAGAAGTAAAACCATAAATCATTAACAGAGAGAGATTTGGCCCAAAGGCATTTAAATTTCACATTATATGAGAGTACTGAAAAAACATCTTAGAATTAAACTCTAAATAATATTTGGAAATTTTAATCAACTACAGCATCTATTATTCACATGAAGTGCCCCAGAATAGGCATTAGTTTCTAGCATAACAATAAGATACAAAATCTGTATTTAATATGGTTTATTATCACGGCCAGCCAAGCAATACTGTGTACAGTAGAAAAAAAATCTTACTTTTTAACACTGTAAAACCCAATAAGTTAAAGTAACTCAAACCATTTAAGGAAACCAATTGCAACAAACCATTTAAGTTCTAAAACTAATTCTAATGAGTACTGTAAACTTAATCCATTTGAGTAAATGAAGCAGTTTGAGCACAGTAAAACCCAATAAATGAAGAGAACTCAAATCTATTGAGTATTGTAAAACCCAATAAGTTAAGGCAACTCATACCTTTTGAGTAAACCGACTGCAACAAACCATTTGAGTTAAAAAAAAAATCTTTACTGTAAACATACTCCATTTAAGTTGAAGTGATGAGGTATTTAAATAACTCATTACCTTTAACACTGAGTTCAAAACTCTTTTTTTAAAGAGTCAATTTTGATTTAATAATATATAAAATACACTCATTTCATTTGATCAAGTTGACTGTTGGGTTTTACAGTGTATGAATTCCATCTAAGATATGAAATATATTATGAATGAAAGTTTTTATCACATTGAGGATGTGCTAACATGACAATGATGGGCTAAAACAGAAAAGCTTTCAACTTTTTAGCACAGCCTTGCAGGCAACAAAGTTGTCAGAACAATGTCTGTTCAGCAAAAATGACAAAAATGCTTTAATATGCATGCCGGGCCAGTAGTTGATGATGTCACTCAAAAGAAACACCACACATCTGCACAAATATAGTGTAGCCTGTCAATGTTGTTTTGGTTGTGGAGTACTTCAACATGATGTATATGTGCATAATGTCACAGTTTTCACAAAATTGTATTTTTACACGTAAAACTGAGACAGTATTGTTTAAAGAAATGCACTTTGAAACCTGTTTTCAAAAGGTTGTGTCTTAAAGGTCTGTGTGGTCCACTTCGATATCATCTTTAAAACTTTAGTTGATGTGTAATATAGCTGTGTGAACATAAACAACATCTGAATGTAAGACACTCAAAGTGCAATGCAAAGGGAGATATTGGCATTTACAGAGTTAGCAAGCCTTACAAGCCTTAAGCATAGTTTGAGAACTACAAAAAAAAAAAAAAAAAAAAAAACATCCAGACTAGTGAGATCAAAAACGCTTCAGATTATGTGCAAGAAGTGTGGCCAGAGGCGTTGTAATGTTATAGCAGAGAAAGCTAAAATGCTGTCCAAATGCTGCTATTTTCATAGAGCTTGTTCTGTTTCTGTATTTGGGCTTTTAAAGGACATGACACAAAGGGAGAAGAGCTTACAGTTTAATTTTAATTATGTTCCAAAGAATTATAAAAAATATATATAGCTAGCATTTGACAAAGGACAGCTTCCAGAATCTCTCCTATAGTCCAGTGCTGGATTCGGCTAATAACTAGAAGTTGTGGATTATGGACGTAAACAAGGATGTAGACAATGGGTAAAGCTGCTTGGATAAAAAATTCATATTTTTCCATCAAACCGCTGTAAATACCCATTATTTTCACCAGCGGTGCAGTTTCTCTTTATGCAGCCACGTTCAGTGTCTCTTTATGCGGACTCTTTCCTGTGTGTTCTACATCTCAAATAACGAACTCGCAAAAGATATGTGAACGTTTCATATTACTCACACATGCTCAAAGCCTGAATATATGTGAAAGACACTTGTCAGATTTTATTTTAGAAAGCGGGCGTAAGATCTGATTCAGACTCATACTGATACTGTTAACAGCTACTCTGACTGACAGTGTCTACACAGCGCAAAAGCGCTTGCTTGTCGGTGCGTGATGCTTTTCCTGGTGACGTGGAGCCAATCCACAAATTACAGCACATTATGTTAGCTGACCTATGGGAGCGTCTTGAAGGTCGTTTTCATATTAGCAAAGTAGCTGTATATTATCAAAGTAAGATACATGAAAAAATAATGTGATTTTCCACAAATGAAGCATGAGCACACATTGCTTTGCATCTTATAAACACAACCAAACCTTAAAAATATACTCTGGACCACCTCTTTAAAGCTCCCAAGATGCTGTTTTTGCATAACAGAACAACGATAATGCATAAAAAGTTCAAATGTGCCCATCAGAACAGTCCTGAAAATGTTTTCTAACTGAATCAGTCTTGCCATTTGCAACATGGACAGTTTCACCAGTTCACCATCATCCCTGGCCTTCATCCTGGTTGCCTATTGATTCAGTTCCAACTCATCCTTACATCAGAACCAGAGCAGATGGAGCCAGGAGGCTGGAGTCGGGCCCAGATCGGGCCCCAGTATGTCAGCATGAATCATACAACAGATTCTGTGGAACCTCACCACAGAGATTCAGTGATCAGTGGGCTCTGCCCCATAAACATGCACTCTTGATCACACGAGGCAGACAGAATCAGAGCAGGGAAAACTAGAGCTGTCAGATTCACTTGCAGCACAGTCCAGCTCAGGGGCTATTTTAGCGCCTGATTTCATATTTGTCCCCTAAATGTGCTCTTTTCGGACAACTGTGTGTGGAGACACAACTGCTTTTGAACTAATCTTTGTCTTTGCATGCCGTTTTACTTTTATTCAACAGATTTGGACTTGTGCGCCCCCTTTTGGCCAGCCAGAGACATGAGCGATAAATAGACATTTATAGTTCCATAAAGAAATAGAAAAAGTATTGATATCACTGTTATATGTTACGTATTCATTGTCAGGTTTAAATACACATGCTACTAACACACACTGAACAAGCCTGGCAATAATCACATGCTTATAGTGATATATGGATATAGTTTTCCAGAAAATCAAAGCTTGTCCTTTGTTCTGACTCTGAGACAAGTGCTATGAAAACCTGGGAAAACTCAGCTTCCCATGGGGAGAGGGAACATCAGATAGAAAGAGTCTGTCAGTGCTGCTTCCTTATGCTGTTTTTGCTGTGCAAACAGGGTGGTAAACAAACACCTCCAGATGGATGGAGCGATCGGCTTCAGAACGCATTGCTGCTTTTGAGTGGGAGGCACAAGGTTTTTTTTTTTCTATTTCCTGCCGGCCTAGATGTTTTGGAGACGTTAAATTTATTCCCCCATCCATGCAGCTCCTACTCTTCTAGAATGTCATAAAAAAGCGTGTGCTGTTTTGGAAAATGAAGTGGGTTAGCAGTGCTGTCTGACAGCTGCCACACGACTCCTTATCCATAATAAACACAGCTGGGTGGAATATGTTTGTGTGGCACCAAGATACCTGTGTGTGTCCGGAGAACAAGCTGAGAGGTTTGGGAGTGCATGTCTTTTTGCCATTCTGGAAGAGTTTCCTTGAAAAAAGAAGAATGATTGATATTGTTAGAGGAATAGAAGACAGAAGCTCCATCGGCATCTCCATGCTGTCTACACACAAAGTTTTTCCACTGTTTGTACACAACAAACAAAAATCAAATCACATATAGGGCATACAGTCATAGTATGGATCTTGAGGGGCACATCATACTAAAGTGATGGATGTTTAGTCCACAAAGCCAGTCTTGTGTTGCGGTGGCAGTAACCAAAAATACACTGAATGAGTCATTGTACAACAAGGTGATTTTAAAAATATTTGGTTTGTAACTCTCAGATTTAGAATTTTCACATTGTATCTCAGCTATTACGGTCCTAACTTATAATTTAATATATAAATTTTAAACTAATTTATAATTAAAATATGGTGTGTGTGTGTGTGTGTGTGTGTGTGTGTGTGTGCACGTGTGTGTGTGTATAAACACAGTTGAAGTCAAAATTATTAGCCCCCTTGCTTATTTTTTCCCCAATTTTTGTTTAACGGAGAGAATATTTTTCTGATTTCTAAAAACTTATTATATATTTACTCGATTATATATCTTTGCTATTATGACTGTAAATAATATTTGACTAGATATTTTTCAAGACACTTCTATACAGTTTAAAGTGACATTTAAAGGCTTAACTAGGTTAATTAGGTTAACATACATACATACACACATATATATATATATATATATATATATATATATATATACATACATACATACATACATACATATATACATACATATATACATATATATATATATATATATATATATATTAGGTGGGCATAGATACTTTTTATCTAGATTAATCTTACTGTAATCTTGGAATTAATCTAGATTAATCTAGATTAAAA